CGCCGCCGCTTTCCGGGACTAAGACGTCTGCTCCGCCGCCTCCCCGCCCGTGACCGAGGCAGGAACCCAGCCGGTTGTGCGCCGAGGCCAGTCGCCACTTCTGTAAGTTTCCCCACTGCCCCGGACCTGTTGCGGGCGCCGCGGGTCTCTGGGGCTGCCTGGGCTGCTGCGGGGGTGTGTTCGCGAGGGGTGAGCGTGCGCCGGCAGCCGGGGGCTCCGACTTAGGTCGTGGGGAGCTGTTCTTGCTGCAGAGACCTCGGTGCCCGCCGCTGCTGTCCCACAGCAAGCAGGGGGCTGGCATCGCGGGAGGAGCAACCGGCCTCCCCTCCGCGGCGCAACGCCCGGGCGAGCCGCAGGGGGAGCGAGAAGCCCAGCCAGGGGTACGATCAGCCTCCCTCCTCCGCGGAAAGCGGCGCTTCCTTGGGGGTGGACGTCCGCCGCCTTGCTCCCCGCAGCCTCCAGGTCCGAGCGCGGGGTCGCTGGCCCACGTTGCACCCTCGCCGGCTTGGTGGAGGGTTGGGACCATGCGTAGAGATACCTCTGGTGCGGGCACGTTTACTGCAGCGAGATGTCTGTAAGGAATGAATGAAAACTGGTTTCCGAAAAACTAGTTTCTTCTCAGGAAAGAATTTGGCCATTAGTGTAACATTAGTGTTTTCAAAGGATAGGAATTGGTGGGCGGGGTGAAGAGGAAACATTGAACTTGTTCAACATGCAATTTGCTGTCGCCCTCATAGGCTTGGCCAGCGTGTTAAATAGCGTTGCAACTGTTAATGAGAACTATACGGCAAAAGCTATTTTTGTTAGCAAGATCTTTATAATGTTGTTCCATTGTTGTCAATAATGAAATGCCAAAGAAAATCTGCCTAGTTGCTCCTTTGGATTGAGATCAGGTTCAAAACCTGGAGAGATGTGATGGGGTGCTAGTATTGGGGGCAGAGAGCCTGTGTAAGGAGCATTGAGTGAACTGAAGTTACTGGACCTGGAAGCCCTTTTGATATTCAGAGTAATAGCAGCCCTTTTCTCCCTCTTCCTAGATGTAGGTTAAGTATATGTGTGCATTTTCTTGCCACTTACTTAACATGCAAATATTACTTCTCTGGGGGCTTAAAAAATGCCAGAAGAATGATTCATTTTACATTTGAGGTGTGTTTAGTGACTGTATAAATGGTCTCTGCTGATATTTTGATGTTTGCATAGTTTTAAACCAGAAAGTGAGTTATTTCCCTTGGGTCTTTAAGTTTACCTTTTATTTTAATCGAACGTTGCTGCCAGAATGTTAGATTTTGACTGTGACATGCTTTTTCAAAATCTGGATGGTATCCAAGATGACAGGCTAGACTCTTCCTTATGGCTTTATGGGCCAACCTGGAAAATACAGGAGCATAAACACAGGATGCAAGAGACGTAGGTCTTATATTCTAAAGTCTTCCAAACAAACTTGTTTTCTAAAGTGTGAGCCTGGTTGTGAATGTTGTTTCACTCTGGCCAGAATCTAATGTTCAGGGAAACGTGTTCTGGGCCCAGCATGATACCAGTTCAATGTGCAAGCACATTGGTGCTTGTGCACCTAGTTGCAGGGAGCCTCATTCTTCAGAGCTGCATTCTCTCTTAGCCTGAGAGGAGGCAGCCTCATGGGAGTATTTAGACAGTCATTTGAGGTTTAGGTTTAATCGTCCTCAAATACTTCAGATTGAATGTGCTAATTCAAATGACAACCATGGTGGTGGAACCTCAAAGATGTAATACATGTTTGAACACTTTGGAAACCTGATGCGTTTGTTCACGTAGGTCCGTATCAGTCCTTCTCCAGAGTACTGGGCATGGTTCACATGGACCATACAGTGGAGACTTAACTTGAGGTGGGAGTGATGATTGGCTCCTCACCATTTTTCATATCCCAAGTCACTGTGGAGTGCTTTGTAAAGTCTTCCTAATGCTGGGGCTCTAGGACTTGGTTGCTTACTTTCTTCCACTAAGCCGTGTTTACTCATAACAAAGAGTTACATTCCAAAAATAAAGGAAAACAAGTTGCATCACCTAATGGTATGTGGCTTGTGTGTCAAAGGCATGTGTTACACACCTGCCTTTGTTTTCTGTGCAGTTTTGTGCTTTCTCATAGCTGGTTGTCCAAGTGCAGTTTAGCACTTGAATGGACAATTCTAGCCAATGTATCTGTGCTACATTGTTCATTTGCATTTATTAATAATTCCTGGAATATAAATTAAACAATAAATAGTCTGAATTGTTGAAGGAAACGAGACTGTTTCAGCTGTGCTGTAAAGACTGGCTGTTCTGTGTTTGGAACAGATACTGTAACCAGCCATATAGTTTACCCTCTGGTGATAAAAAGTTTCCCTTAGGCATCCTTGGACAGGCAAGTTCTTAAGGGCTTTACTCCTTTGAAGTAACAGAGGGGTAGTGTGAAAAAAAGTGGGGGTGGGGGGACATGTGATTCAGTTTTTGAAGATGGATGGTAGGCATTTCCTATGTCTTTTCCCTACAGTTTTCTTACTGAAGAAAGCCAAAAAAAAAAAAAAAAATTAGCATTAGATTATGCTATAGTTTTAATTTAGATACTAAGAAAAGCCCTTTAGTTAGCACATAAATTCTAGAGTAGTACTAAATTAACAATGGCTGGCAAATACACATACACACACTTGTGTGTATTTTTTTATTTAAATAAAGCAATATTTGCATTTTTGAACTTCCTATATGCAGGTGCCAGTATTTACAGGTACACAAGAATGTGCCAGTGATGCACTATTGAATCAAAAGACAGGGGTGGATGGATCCTTTGTTCTTGCAAGTGGTTTTCCAAGAACTGGTAAAAAGCAGGAAGAAAAGGAAAACAGCACTCAAGAGTGTTACTCAAAATATTCTTCTTTTATGTGCCAAATCCTCATTTTGGAAGCTGTCCAGGACAAGAAAGATGGGTGGTAATTGTGGCCAGAATCCATTCTGTGCTTTCACTAAAGCTTGCTGGTCAGTACATGGTAATGTTTATATTGGGGTGCTTTTAGAACCCTGTAGTGGTAGAGCTGTCTGGTTAGAAATTATCTGTAACACTTAAATAAAGTTGTAATCATTGCAGAAGTTGGCTTCCATTTCCCATTTACTATATATGCAAGGAGATTGGATCTTAGCAAAGGAATTCTTAATGGAATTAATTAGTAGGTGCTTGTTTTACATGTAGCTTTATGTTGCATAGGGTATTAAAGATGGTACCCATCCTGGCGTTACGAGAGTAGGAAGCCTGGCATTTTAAGCGGCCTGCAGTGAATCAGCCGGACTAGGACAGGGAGCTTGAGACCTTGCTCCTGTTGGCTTTTGCTGACTTACATGCTCAAAGACTTCAGTGTGCTGAAAGTTGGCAATCAGGTTCTCCAAGATGAACCAGCTTTTAAACAGTGATTTTTTTTTTTTTAAATAGTATATGGTTCAAATAGCTCCACAGTATTACAGTGAATGTCTTTCCTTCCAGGTGGTTGTCTCTGACCTTGTACTGGAATGGCCAAGCACTATTCAGAACAGTAGGCAGGAGGGCTATAACAAAGTGTTTCGTTTTCTTTGTCCAAAACAATTGTTGCTTTTGTTCTGCTGTTCTGAACATCGGAGCATGTTCAAAGGTTTTGTTTTGTTTTTTTAGGAGTGGAAACAAAATGTCAGTCAGCGTGCATGAGAACCGCAAGTCCCGGGCCAGCAGCGGCTCCATTAACATCTATCTGTTTCACAAGTCCTCCTACGCTGACAGCGTCCTCACTCACTTGAACCTTTTACGCCAGCAGCGTCTCTTCACCGACGTCCTTCTCCATGCTGGAAATAGAACCTTCCCTTGCCACCGGGCAGTGCTGGCTGCGTGCAGCCGCTACTTTGAGGCCATGTTCAGTGGTGGTCTGAAAGAGAGCCAGGACAGTGAAGTCAACTTTGACAATTCCATCCATCCAGAAGTCTTGGAGCTGCTTCTTGACTATGCATACTCCTCCCGGGTCATCATCAATGAAGAAAATGCAGAATCGCTCCTGGAAGCTGGTGACATGCTAGAGTTTCAAGACATCCGGGATGCGTGTGCAGAGTTCCTGGAAAAGAATCTGCATCCTACCAACTGCCTGGGAATGCTGCTGCTGTCCGATGCCCACCAGTGCACCAAGCTGTATGAACTCTCCTGGAGAATGTGTCTCAGCAACTTCCAAACCATCAGGAAGAATGAAGATTTCCTCCAGCTGCCCCAGGACATGGTAGTGCAGCTCTTGTCCAGTGAAGAGCTGGAGACAGAAGATGAAAGACTTGTGTATGAGTCTGCAATTAACTGGATCAGCTACGACCTGAAGAAGCGCTATTGCTACCTCCCAGAACTGTTGCAGACAGTCAGGCTGGCACTGTTGCCAGCCATCTATCTCATGGAGAATGTGGCCATGGAGGAACTCATCACCAAGCAGAGAAAGAGCAAAGAGATCGTGGAAGAGGCCATCAGATGCAAACTGAAAATCCTGCAGAATGATGGTGTGGTAACCAGCCTCTGTGCCCGACCCCGGAAAACTGGCCATGCCCTCTTCCTCCTGGGGGGACAGACTTTCATGTGTGACAAACTGTATCTGGTAGACCAGAAGGCCAAAGAGATCATTCCCAAGGCTGACATCCCTAGCCCAAGAAAAGAGTTCAGTGCATGTGCGATAGGCTGCAAAGTGTACATTACTGGGGGACGGGGGTCTGAAAATGGAGTCTCAAAAGATGTCTGGGTTTATGATACCCTGCATGAGGAGTGGTCCAAAGCTGCCCCCATGCTGGTGGCCAGGTTTGGCCATGGCTCTGCTGAACTGAAGCACTGCCTGTATGTGGTCGGGGGGCACACAGCTGCAACCGGCTGCCTCCCGGCCTCTCCCTCAGTTTCCCTAAAGCAAGTAGAACATTATGACCCCACAACCAACAAATGGACCATGGTGGCCCCACTGCGAGAAGGTGTTAGCAACGCCGCAGTAGTGAGTGCCAAACTCAAGTTGTTTGCTTTCGGAGGTACCAGTGTCAGTCATGACAAGCTCCCCAAGGTTCAGTGTTATGATCAGTGTGAAAACAGGTGGACAGTACCAGCCACCTGTCCCCAGCCCTGGCGTTACACAGCTGCAGCTGTGCTGGGGAACCAGATTTTTATTATGGGGGGAGATACAGAGTTCTCCGCCTGCTCTGCTTATAAATTCAACAGTGAGACTTACCAGTGGACCAAGGTGGGAGACGTGACCGCAAAGCGCATGAGCTGCCATGCTGTGGCCTCCGGAAACAAACTCTATGTGGTTGGAGGATACTTTGGCATTCAGCGGTGCAAGACTTTGGACTGCTACGATCCAACATTAGATGTGTGGAGCAGCATAACCACAGTCCCATACTCGCTGATTCCTACCGCATTTGTCAGCACCTGGAAACACCTGCCTTCTTAAATGTAGTACATCCTACAGAAAGTGAGCATGAGGTAAGAGGTCAGTTTAGCTGTAGATGGAAGTATGCATATAATTTAGCTAGTTGTGTAACTTCACTTTGTGGAGAAAGGTATGATTCATAGATCCTGTACTACAGAAGTACTACAAAAACTATAAAAATAAGAGTCTTTGCACTCCCAGAACTTAAACACTTGTGTTGACCACAGCCGCAACCCTCCCATCACATAAGCCAGTGGTTCTCAGCCTTTTCTGAGCCTCAGAATCTCCTGAAAAGCTTTTCAAAAACTTCCCAACCCAGAGACTTTGTTTCATTTGGTCTGGGATGGGGCCCAAACATCAGTAGTTTTAGAAAGTTTTCCAAGGACTCTACACAGCCAGGTGGAGAACCCTTGACCTCGGTTAATCGTCCCAGCCCGTGTTTGTTGACCCTCCCTGTGTGCCTGCAGCAGTGCCTAAGTTTTTATGAATCATCTCATTTGAACCTCACAGCAACCCTGTGGGATAATATTATTAGTCTTATTTCACAGATGAAAAAACCTGATGCATGCAGAGGATAAAAAGTAAGTTGTCCAAGGCCACAGAGCCTTAGTAGAGTTAGTTGTACACAGAGTAAGTATAGAGTTGGTCAGGAGTCAACCCAGGCAGTCTGGCTCGAGAGCATAAGCTTCAGGCTGAACTGCCACTTCACGAACTTGAGCTTCCTGTTGGTATCATCCCAGGAGTTACTTCATTGATACTCAAATTTAGTTTCCTCAAACTCTTTGTGAAATGAAGTAGGGTTTAAAAAATTCAGTGCTTAAATTCATTTCTAGTTTATTCTCTCCAGAATTATTTATTAGCTTATTTGAAATGTTTTTCCTCCAAAAATAATAGCCCTCTTTAGGGCAATTATTAACTCTAGAGGAGAATCTAGGTCCATCCTCGTAAAAGGTTGCATCTACCTTGTATAAATTTGTTTGATGTGTGTGTACACTGAGCCATCTAAACTGCCCTAACTGCAGCCTTTCAGAGTTAGTCAGTTACCCCTATTGTCAAGGCTAACAAAAGTTGTGTTTCTGTGTCATGTATCTGAGTACATAATGTTGTCTTTTGTACTTAAGAGTATATAATACTTTTGGCTCAAATAATTAATAGGCTGCACAGTTCAGTGTTCGCAAAGCTCATGGCCACTTTGGTGCTGTTAAGCATTCCTAGGATTGGCCTCAGGAATCACTTAAACATATGTAAGCATAGCACAGAGCATACGGAATGTTGATTTGTTTGGGTGATTCATGGGCTTATTACTAATAATAAGAGAAGAAACTAACTGTGCTTTGGAGGAACTACAGTGAAAACTAACTCATTACTTGGAAACTTTTGGCTCTATTTTTCCTAGTATGTCTCACACCTTTGAAGGGGACTTCAAAGGGATAAGGGGCAATCTAAGAGTAGTTGTAAGCTAAGCAAAGAGGGGTTTCATCTCATTTGTCTTTTCTTTCCCTGTCTCTTACAGCTCATTTTTAAAAAATTGGTTTCATGTTCACATCTTTCTATTTTTTTCACTTCAATTATCTCCTCCAGCCAATTACTGTTAGCAGAGTTCTTAGTGATGTTAGGTTTCCTAGGAATGAAACTCCTTCAAAGGAGCAGGAATAGTCAGAAACCTCCTCTGGGGATTGACTGGGCTAACAGCGTCTCACACCAAACTGGTTTTTGCTGCCTTGCTGGCATCTCAGTAATCCTGAATAAACAAATGCTCTGAAAGTGGTTATTTCATTTGTGATATGCATGCATGACTCAACTCCTAAAGCAGGTTTAAAGAACCTCCTAGGCAAAAGCATCAGTTAACAGCATATTTAGTTGGGTATTAGTCTAGAACTGTTTGCACAGAAGAGACATAAAAATTGCCAGTGTGGTGGTGGTACATCAAAAATGGTAATGGGTAGACTGGTTGACATCCTTTGGAACAAGGTAAGGAAATTGAGGCAGAAAAAAGAGAGAGACCACATATGTGTTCTGGTCCCACTTTTAAGTTCTAGACCTTTCTGGACTGCCAGTTGCTTCTCTGTCAGATGAGTGGTTTGAACTGTAATTTCCCTAAGATCTGCCCCAATTCAGATTTGGGTGAATTGATAATTAAAGGCAAAGATACCTAGCCTGGCGTACATTACGTATTTAATACTCTTGGTTTTCTTTCCTCCCTTTAATGCAGACTTTAACTTGCTCTGAGATATAGCAGTGGAATTAGCTTTATGCGTTGTGGGAGAATGAGGTTTCTTTGAGTTTTATCTGATTGTCATCTTTACACAGTTCATGTTTGGTTCCTCCTTTTTCGGCCCAGAGTGAGTATGTTGGCAAACACTTGAATTCACCCCATCCTGGCTATTTGAACCTAATCACACACTTCCGATCTCTGGGAACCAGAGCAAATAAAGTGTTAGGTTATATGTGAAACAACATCCCCTTCACCCTTGGTGCTACCAGCTAGGGAGTCAAGCACATAAAAACGAAATTTGACAGGGCTGGGTTTGCTGCTCTTAAAGGGCGGCGTACATGCTTGATCAAAGCCACTCTCAGTTTCCGACTGGGAGAATGTTGGGTTAAATTTCTAAAGTTTACTACACACAAAGTAATGTTAAAACATTTAAGCTGGATGGAATATCTTAAAGAGGTGCTGGGTAGGTATCTACCCCAAACTGTGAAAACCTCCTGAGACATTCCTCTGCTCTCTAAATGTAGGTGCTAACTGAATTAATACCGTGTTAACAGAAAGTTTCCCTAGGTCTTAAAAGCTCATCCACCAAGGAGATTTTAACTGTCTCCTGCTGCTCTGTCAGTGGGTGGGAGGGACGAAAAGGAAATTACTTTGATTATCCTCTATTTTCATGGTGCTGTGTGGCCCCAACCTGACAGTGCTTTGGATTTTCATTTGCTTTGTTTTTTTCTCTTTTAGATATTTTTTGGGAATGTGTGTGTGTGTTCATTTTTAAAATTTATTTATTTTTTATTTTTTCCTATTTGAGTATGCAGTGTCTTGAAATTTTATATTATTACAAGGAACAGTCTTTTGGCCTCATGTTGATATATAGGTTACCAGGAGGTGGGGGTGGGGGATGACACCATCATCTAAGGAATGCCTTGAAGGCTTGAATCACTGTTACTAAACAGCCAAAAGAAACAGATGAAATCAGACTTCTGAACACGCAGTGGCAAAGTGAGAATTCAATGCAAGAGTGGCCCCTCCAGAATACCCTTTGTCTATACTTAAAGCAATAGGGATACAGATTCCTGCACTAGGGCTGGCTATCCGTGAACAGATAGGGTGAGTGTTTTGAAGACAAAAGCCCTCTGCAAAATTACCCTACACGAAGTCGGAAGTAAGTAAATGGGAAGGGCGAGTAGTGCAGGGAAATGCCAGCTTCTGTGAAGTGTGCAGGCTGTGTGGTTATGGCACTTTGAACTTGTATTTATGTTCACACTTGGTGTTGGTAGATTCTGTAGATAATAGCACTGGCATACCATAGCTGTCATCTCCTAAGTGTGGACTAAGGAACTTTGAGAACAAATTCCAGCTTTGGGCTGTTAAGGCCTTGTATGTTGGCATGTGAAAGGAAGCGAGACTGACTTTTGCCATAATGAATAGCAGAGATGCATTTAAATAAGAGGATTAATATGTCTGCCTTCTATGTGTGAATAAATTTAATTTAGAATCTTTTATGGTCAGTGGACCAAGGAGGGGTTTGCACAGGAACCTCCTTTTGACTCCCTAGTGATCACTTTACAGTGGCCCTGTTTAACCACAGAAAGGAATTTTATGAATGTTGAGAGCAGAAGATGGCAACTCATCACAGCACCTAGATGTATAGGTTTGAATTTGGACATATATATGCTTAAGAAAGAAGTGGAGGTCCTTCTTTGGACACCATTGTTTTTGTCAGGCCAACCATCTGCATGGATGCATGTGTATGTGTTTAAGACCAGTACTTTAAATATCTTTGCACGGTTCCTACTGAACATGTAAGTAAGACCTTTAGAAGCAACATTGCTTAGCTCTGTACTGAGTTTAATTTTTAAAAAAATTTTGTGGCTACTAACAAAAATCTTATAAATATGGCATTACACAAATTCTTGATGCCTTTTTGTTTTGTTTTTTCTTTTTCTCCCTATTTTAGCTCATTCCGTCACCGAGTGAGATAATACGAGATTTCTACTTTGAAGAGGGCAAGCTTAATGAAGAGAAAGAAAAAAAGGAAAAGAAGTTGCTACAAGACTCGAATAACATCCACTGCACCTTGTAAATGCTCTAACTGAACATGAAGGAAGGGGGAGAAGGAAGGGGGTGGGATTTTCTGTGCAAGTAGCACATGGTTTAAATATGAATGAACGAACCTGTGGTCTAGTCCTTGTCTTGTAATTGTGGATTAATGTCAGCATTAATCAGCCCCTCAAAGGGAGAGAAAAGCTGGGCCTTTTCCCTTGCTGTACCATATTCAGCATTTGATTTCCATGGGCTCCACCATTTATGTGTAAAATTTGAAATGGTTGTCACCTCTCTCTGAGGAGCGAGCTTGAAGCTTCCACACCAGCTGCTGTTGGAGATTCAGCCCAATTGTGGGTCTAGGAGGGAAGCTGGCTGGGCTGGCCAAAGAATGAGGACCCCTGGACTCTCCCTTAAGCTCTAAGGGGTTGTGCTCCCCAGGAGAGTTTCAGAACAACGGGGATATTGTTGGTAGCTATTTGGTAGATGTTCTTTTCTATTTATAAGTGACTTTAAACTTTCCCTTGGCTGTTAAGGAATTTGTTATAGATTTAGCTATTTATTATTGGATGCCTGCATGCTGAAACAATGCTTATTATGGTTGTCTTCACGTGTGTGGACGTGTGTGAATGGTTGTATGTTTTGCACATTTTGTGGCTGTTGAGATGTGCTTTGCTGCGCACAAATGAAAATTTTTGAGTTACAATTTGGAGTATAACTGGAGGGTGGGTTGGGGAGGGGTGGATTTTTTAATTGTCAAGACAGGGAAGAATTACAAAACGGAAACTTAAATTACATCCTGGAAGTAGAGAAACCATGGAGGTCACTTACGTTAGACTCACCAGTTTTTAGTGGGGTTTCATGGTGTATATGGCCATGCTGATGGGGCGAGGGGAGGCTTTTTTCTGCCTTCCTCCCTCCCATCTGATTCTCTTAATTCAGTCTCAGCTGCTGAAATTTGGAAAGGACCAAATTGTTTTATCGTTTTTTTCTTTGTGTAATATCCTGAAATCCTGGAAAATTCTATGGAATAGTTCTGTATATAGGGCACAGGTAAAGACATTGTCCAAAGTTTATTTATTTATCTATTTATTATCCTATGAGATTGCTTTGCCATAACCACAGTTAATGGGAACAACTGAAATATTACAGTTGTAAATTAATTCACTGACCAAATTTGCTTGACCTGGACTCGTTGTTGTTCTCTGTTCTTGCTGTACAATTTAGCAAGTGCTAGAAGTTCCCCAAGACAGTAGTTATATTGGTACAATGTATACTTTAGTGCTCACTCTTAGGTAAATCTCTAACAGAACTCTTTGGTGCACAAAACTGACACATTTGGCCACAGTACACCAAAGAATTGTGTAAGCAGTGGCCCCCGTCGAGAGTTTTTCCCAGTATAGTTGGGAATCAGTTGTGAATACATTCTTTGCTAGTTTGAATGCTTGTTTACTAAACGTGCTGTGGTAGGTATTAGTGCTAGACTCAAATAGGTGCTTCCTCAGAGGTGTCTGGGGAAGACCAAAGTTTGCAACTCAAACTGCTTTTGTTGATGTTTCTCACATTGCTGTATTTTAGAAAATAGGATTTAAGGCTGATAATAACCTTTTACATCGTGAGTGTGTTTGCATTGTCTGATGACAGATAAATCCTTAACATTTCTCTCTACCTTAGTACTTTAGACTAATTGTACATGTCCGTCCTTGCCATGAGTAAGTGGGCTATAGTTGGACCAAAATAAATGAGCTGTTGGAATAAAAGAATCACAATACTTTCCAGCAGTCAGTCCCCGGTTCCTACATGTGTTCTAAGCAAGGCAAATGTCTAATTGTACCCTGGCAGCATAGTTGGTGTCCTTATATTGTAGCAGTTACAGCTCTATAGTTTATGATGCAAATCTGCTCAGAGACGCTGGCTTCTGAGAGCAGGATGAATTTCCTGCAGCTGTTTCAAAGTTGTGGTCTGACTAAGCAAGGCAAATGTCTAATTGTACCCTGGCAGCATAGTTGGTGTCCTTATATTGTAGCAGTTACAGCTCTATAGTTTATGATGCAAATCTGCCCAGAGACGCTGGCTTCTGAGAGCAGGATGAATTTCCTGCAGCTGTTTCAAAGTTGTGGTCTGTCCTTGAATCCTCTATTAATTACTGTGTGTGAGCCAGAGGGAGCTGCGGTAAGGGTGGGCCCCCAGCCTGCAGGGAACTTTCTGGACTCCCACTCTTTGAATCCATGTAGGCATTTGGGCTCACTACTTGACCATTCTCACCCTGTGAAACGTCCCACACTTTGAAGCAAATACAATTCACAGCATAGTACACACAAAAAACCTTGGCATAAGACAGAGAAGGTTCTTCTTATTTTGTGGACTGGTTGCTGTAGAAACGGATAACAAAGGGCAGCCTTCCACTTCTGGTATAATTGTGCAGCCCCTTTTCTCTGGGCTTGACACCTGTCTGAATAAGTGATTAGAGCTGCATAATATCCCTGTCTTGACTATTTAATATGTCGTTCACGTACAAAACTGTATAAGTTGAAGAAGTAAAATGTTCATGTTCGTATGTACTTGTTTGCTACTACTACATTTTTGAGGTTTCGTAAAACTGTTATTTTTTTTTTCACAATGTGAAACTGAAGGTCAATAAATTATTAGAGATTTTCTCTTCACTGTGTGTGTGGGTCTTTATCTGCATACAACATAATTTTAGGCATTGAGCGTTTGTGCCTTTTCTTATTTAATCGAGAAGATCATCTCAAATATTTTCCAAATGTACTCTAATTCACCATTTGTTCACATACATTTACCAAAATAGTTTTGCACATTAAACCTTTTTTTTTTGGCCTTTAGAGCATCCCTTTAAAGCAAAATACCTCATTTATGGGTCATTGATAGCTTGGAATATAAAAAGTCATGTACCATGTGATTCTAAGACAGCATACTTTATATTAGAAGGAATTTAGTTTTTGAAATCCTCACGTGGGTTATATTTTGATAGAAAGCTGTTAAGAGAAGGAGCTGGAGTTCAATCCTCTTTTCATCTAGTGACATCCGCTTTAGAAATCATTTAATGTAAGTGGAAATATATGCATATTATTTCTCTGTAATAGCACAGAAAAGCATGAGTTTAACCCCTTAGGTACACTTAAATTCTTCCAAGCTGACAGTTGTCCTAGCTGGTTCAGCGTAGGGCTCATGCCCCCACTTCAGGATAGCCTCGTGTCACACTGAGATGCTCTTTTATCACTTGGGTGGGACCTCTTATTGTTTTGGTGTGCAGAGCAGTGCTGGGCATTATCTTTTCTGGGTAGAAAATAGCTACTACCTAACTGGAACTCTAGGAGAGCTCATGAGTAGGCATAATGCAGTTACAGCCTTTGGACTTTGACCAAGATGCCACAGCAGATGCCTCGGGTCGGACAGAAGGATTGTTCTGTTCCATGCTGGTGAGACTGGTCTGGAGCCAAGCCTTTGGGAACAAGTGTCTGAGTCCTCAGATTCCAAGTGTATGATGCTGATGACCTGTGGAAGCTCTGTTGACACGATTTGTGTGACATTACATGACAGGGAAGAAGGGAAAGTTAGCAGTTAGGAGTCATGGAAGGGACTTGGACTCTCCGAAAAATTCTTGATGTTAATCCTTAGAAGAGTTGAGAGTGATTCCTATAGAAACGATTGTGAACAGATCTTTCATTCTCTGGAGTTCTTTTTCCTTGTTATCTCAGGACAAGTAGACAGATTAAGAAAATACTTCAAATTCTTAATTTTCATTCAGAAATTTCATTCATTCTGACATTCAGATCATCCCAAATGATGGCTGTGTTAGTTTGGATTATCTTTGGCTGCATGTGGTGGAATTCTGACCACAGTGATGGAACCATTAGGAGGTCGGCAGTCTGGGGCTGGGATGGCCCTACAAGGCCATCAGGGGTCAGGGCTCTTGTGTCTGCTTTGCTATCCTGGGCTTGTTCCTTTGGTCTTCATGTTTGCAGGATAGCAGCAATACCTTGTGGTATCACATCTGCTTTCCAGGTGGCAATGATGGGAACAGACAAAGGGGAGAGGGCATATGCCAGAGGAAGCTCTCCCTTTTTCCTGGAATAGTAATATTTCCCCAAAAAAGGCTTGCCTGGGAGATGTGCACTTATCTTGTTGGTCAGAACTAGGTCACATGAACTCCCCAGGGAGGCCAGGGAGGGGAGTGCTTTTATCTGGACACTTTGCCACTCCACACAATAAAGTGATTTTGCTAGTAAGGAAAAAAAAAGAACAGGCATTGAGTGGGATTATCTACTACAGTGGATAATCCAAGATTCGTTGCATTTATTGAGTGACTGTGATGAGCTAAGGATTGTGCTAAGGATGAGCTTTACTTTTGTCTCATTTTATCTTTGCACCAAATTTAGGTAAGTACAGAGAGGTTTCTTAACATCTCTGGGCCTTTGTTCCTTTATCTGTAAAATAAGCATGACTAGGGCCGGCCCCGTGGCGCACTCGGGAGAGTGCAGCGCTTGGGAGCACGGCAGCGCTTCTGCTGAGGGTTCGGATCCTATATAGGGATGGCCAGTGCGCTCACTGGCTGAGCGCGGTGTGGGACACTCGGGAGAGTGCAGCGCTTGGGAGCACGGCAGCGCTTCCGCTGAGGGTTCGGATCCTATATAGGGATGGCCAGTGCGCTCACTGGCTGAGCGCGGTGTGGGTGACACCAAGCCAAGGGTTGCAATCCCCTTACCGGTCACGAAAAAGACAAAAAAAAAGCATGACTAATATGCTCTAATAGAAAAATGTAATAATTTAGTAAATTTAAGACAAAACACCAAGCTCAGTGTCTGGCACATAGTAGATCCTCAGCAATTTTCAGCTGTCATTTTTAAACAGCACTGGGAGAAATACATACATAAATATACATCTGCATGCTTATTCGGTATCAAGGGTTTGTATGCCCAATGCCTTGCTTCGTCCTTGCAGCAGCCCATGAGAGCAGGCATGGTCATTACCTCCAATCTGTGGATGAGGAAACAGGTTTCGAGAGAGTGTATGACTTGCCCAAGGGAGCACTGGAACTAGGTTGCAAAGCATGCTTGCTGAGCTGCTCCTCCAGGTCCAGGAATGTGGAGGAAGGTGAGTCATGGGACTGAACGTGACTGGGCAGCCCAAGACTGCCTGAGTCCATCATGCCTGGATGGTCTGAGGAGGCCTGCAGCTGGTGAGTCCTGCTTGGGACATGAAGACTGAAGAAGCAGACAGAAGTCTATGCTGAGCCTCAAAAGTTTCCTTGACACCTGGTTTCTGAAGATAAGCTTGTAGAGAATTTAAAAATAAACGGGGGCCCTTGGGTGGTTGTTATACTTGATAATTCATTGAGCTGCACACTGATGCTTTTTTGTACTTTTCTGGTTGTAAATTGTTTGAGTTAATGTTATACAAACGGATCATGGCCAGACCATATATAAAAACAGAACTCTGACCCACAGTCTGCAGCAACCAGCCCAGGAAACCAATCCATTTTCTGTAGCAAGCCAGCCTGCTATCTATAAGTCAGACTTGTAGGAAGTCAGACCACTGTTTCTTGCAACTGGTCCAGAAAGCCAAATAATAACCCCTGTAACAGTTATCCCTAAACAGCCAGGACTTGATTAATAACGACAGCTTCCCTAATTTTTGTCCCTGTTTCCAACTTAGGAACAACCAGAGAAAGCCAGATGTGTACCCCTGACCAATCAACATAAGATGCCCCACTTCTCGTAGGCCCACCTGCAGCTTCCCCATGCCAGCAGCCTCCAATCAAACCCGAAGCCTTCCCCTTTTTCCACAGTAAAGCTCTCTCACTTCTCTGTCTTCCCTTGAGTCTCTGCCAAGACGCAAGTGACAGTGGCCAACTTCCTTGCTATCACAAGCTCTGAATAAGTCCTTTGCTTGTTCTCACTCGGTCTTTATCTCCACAGACAAATGTTCGTTCAATAAAATAATTAAATATCTCAATAAAAAGGTTCACAAAAATGAAGTGGGGACCCACATTGTGAGTTCTGGGCAAGCTGAGTTTTCAGAAGGTTGTTGTCATCCTGAATGTCTGAGTAAATGAAACATACATAATACATATAGCATGAGAAAAATGGATTTTGAGGGCAAGAGGTATTTGGGAACTCTCTACTTTTCACTCAATTTTGCTGTGAACCTAAAACTACTCAAAATAAATAAATAAATAAAAATAAAGTCTATTAAATGCCAAAATAGAAAACAAAAGGAGTCTTTTAGGAACGTCACATAAATTGTTTAATCTAAAAAAAATACAGTAAATATACATTTTTTTTTTTGTCTTTTTCGTGACCGTTAAGGGGATCGCAACCCCTGGTGTGGTGTCACCCACACAGCGCTCAGCCAGCGAGCACACGCACCGGCCAGTCCTATATAGGATCCGAACCCGCAGCGGGAGCGTCGCTAAGCTCCCAGCGCCGCACTCTCCCGAGTGCGCCACGGGCTCGGCCCAAATATACATATTTTTAAATGTCACCTTGAGAAGACTCTGAGTTCTGGAAAGAGAGAAAACTCTTCCTCTCTGTGACACTGTAAAATTTATGTTTGGTCTTTGCCCCCATTTCCTGACATACAGCTCCTAAAATCCTTGGAATATCCAGAGTGATGATTGTCTTTTGTATGCTAATAAGAGGACTGGTGGCTGGGGACCACTAGGTAGCTTCACAATGGGGGTTGGTCACCAGAAAGACCAAGGCATGATTAGAGGGTTGGGACTTTCAGCCCCACCCCTCACTTCCTGGGAGGGTAGAAGGGCTGAAGGTTGAGTTGATCACCAATGGCCAGTGATGTAGTCAGTCATGTCTATGGAATGAAGCCTCCATAAAAATCCAAAAAAGAGACTAGGTTTGGAAGAGCTTCTAGATAGCTGAACGTGTGGAGGTTTCTGGGGATTCCTGCAGGGTGGCACACCAGGGAAGGGCATGGAAGCTCCCTGTCCCTTCTGACATACCTTGCCCTATGCATCTTTTCCATCTGGCTGTTCATCTACATCTTATGCAATATCATTTATAATAAACCAATAAATGCATGTACAGTGTTTCCTTGAATTCTGTGAGCCATCCTAGCTAGAGTCATCACACCCTAGAAAGGGGTTGTGGGAACACTGATTTAGAGCTGGTCAGACAGAAGCGCAACGGGCATCTGAAGTGGGGACAGTGTTGTGGGACTGAGCCCTTTACTTGTGGGATCTGATGCTATCTCCATTGAGTTAACTTAGAGAACACATAGCTGGTGTCCACTGGAGAATCTGCAGAATTGCTTGGTTGATGTATGGGGAAAACCTCACACACATCCGGTGTCTGAAGTGTTGAGTGGCTCAGTGAGTGAGAAAAGGAAGAAGCACTTTTGGTTTTTCCTTGTCTCTAACACTACCATTCCTGCATTCCTCGTCCCAAGACCCAGAATCAGGCTGGCACCAGTGCAGGCTCAGGAAATGGAGTCATGATGGCTATCTGGGAACCTAACCACCAATTATAACATCACTGCTAGGAGGAGATGTGTCCCCCATTCCAAGTAACAAGCTCGCTCATAAGTTAATGCCAGTTGGTATTTTGGCAAATACCTATCTATACATGCATATCTGTACTCAGTGTAAATGCTGATTCCAAAATTTTTATTTCTGCAATTTT